AAACCACCGTCCATTCCCTGCAGGCCACTAGGGGAAGGGACCAAACAAAGGGGGAGTTAGGCACATGTGTAGTGAAGTCAGGGTGATGTAGGGAAGGTGCTTTCCTGTCAGTCTAGCCTGAGAAACAGTGGATTGGTTAGGAGGTGACCCCCTTAAGAAGTGTGTGAGCCCAGCCAGTGTGGCTCAGCAGTTGAGCATCGACCTAGGAACCAAGAGGTCACCAGTTCAATTCCCGGTCAGGGCTCAATCCTCAGTAGTGGGATGTGCAGGAGGCAGCTGATCAATTATGTTCCCTCTCATCAATGTTTCTATCTCTCCATCCCCCTCCCTCTTCTCTCTCTAAAGAAATCAATAAAAACCTATGAAAAGAAGTGTGTGAAATCTTGGAAGGTTAAAATCCCCAGACAAAGAGTTCCCTCCCCCTCCCGTTGTTCCCTCTCACTCTCTTGCTCTGTGACCACTCTCTCTCATGTGCTTGCCTGTTCTCTCTCTATAGCCATGTGGCCTTAAGCAGCCATATGGACCATGGCCGTGCAGACCCCACATACAATGCCCTGCAGCTGGGAATACAAGTTAAGTTGGCCAGATGCTGGACTAGACTAGACTTTAATATGAAACAGATCAAAGCTAGACTGGACTTTAATATGGAACAGATCAAAACAACAATGAGGTACCATCTCACACCTGTCAGAATGTCTATCATCAGCAAATCAACAAACAACAAGTGCTGGCGAGGATGCAGAGAAAAAGGAACCCTCGTGCACTGCTGGTGGGAATGCAGACTGGTGCAGCAACTGTGGAGAACAGTATGGAGATTCCTCAAAAAATTAATAATGGAACTCCCATTCGACCCAGTGATCCCACTTCTGAGAATATATCCCAAGAAACCAGAAATACCAATCAGAAAGGACATATGCACCCCGATGTTCATAGCAGCCCAATTTATAATACCTAAGATTTGGAAACAGCCTAAGTGCCCATCAGCAGATGAGTGGATTAAAAAGCTGTGGTACATCTACATAATGGAATACTATGCTGCTATAAAAAGGAAGGAACTTTTACCATTTGCAACAGCATGGATGGACCTGGAGAGCATTATGCTAAGCGAAACAAGCCAGTCAGAAAAAGGTAAATATCACATGATCTCACTCATATGTGGGATATAATGAACAACATATACTGATGAAAAAAATAGATCCAGAGACAAAGAAACACTGAACAGCCTGTCCAATCTCAGAGAGAAGGCAAGGGAGGTGGGGAGAGGGGTAAGAGACAACCAAAAGACTTGTATACATGCATATAACCAATGGACAGGGACACTGGGGCGGTGGGGGCTTGTCCTGGGGGACAGGAGTGGCCCAGGGGGAGGGTCAATCAGGGAAAAAGGAGACATATGTAATACTTTAAACAATAAAAAAATATGGAACAGAAATTCTGGGCAGTGGCCTTCATTCTGGCCCTGTTAAAGACAAGATTGGACTTCTGCCATGGTGAAATGGACGGAACTTAGAGGGAACCCCCTTAATTTTACATCATTAATAAAGCTTTCCACGAAACCCCATCCTTCCATGGGGACCTCAGGAAATTCTTTTCTTCCTGGTACCCCAAGAACTCCACTTTCACCGATAACACTGGGACTCTCTTCACTGTCATCCTGAAGTTGTCTTTTGCTTTTTTCTTAAATTGGATCTCCTGTTTCCAGTAACCTATGTCTTTCCCTTGCTTGCTTTCCTCCAGTGAATTCCTAAGAAAAACTATATGAGAAGTAAATTAAGTTCTTTCATGTCTGAAACGTATTCTTTTCTTTTTTTAAACATCCTGTGTACATATTATAATATTTTAATTTGAGTTTCTCATTTTAATTACAAATACCTTAAGCAAATTCATCTATTTTACAAGTTTAAAAGAGACGGAAAGAAAAAAAAAAGAAAGTCACATTCCAAATTCTGGCTAATTAAACATTTCTGTTTCTCAGGAGGGAGCGATTCTGAACTGGCATCACAGTACTGCCGGAGAAGCCAAATGCCAGCTTGGACTAAAACCAACATTTCACACACTCAGATCACCAGCCCCACATAGCCTTTACAACCAAAAGAAAGGGATTCCTTAGGCATATTTATTTTATTTCAATTACAGTTGACATTCAATATTATTTTATATTAGTTTCAGGTGTTCAGCATAGTGGTTAGATAATTATATAATTTACAAAGTGATTCCCCCAATAAATCAAGTACCCATCTGGCGCCACACATCTATATAATAAAAACCCAGTGGTCGTAACACTATAATGACCAAAGACCGGTCACCAGGAGGCTGCGTTCACAGAAGCGCAGCGAGGTACACGGGTGGGCAGGGACTTGACTCTGGGTCCCGTGGTGCTCCATTACTCGGGGGAGTCCCACAGCACCAGTGGGACTCGGGGGTCCCGGGTCTCACGCGATTTCCCCGCGGGTCTGGGTCTCGTGCGATTTTGTACGCTGGGTCACTAGTAGTAAATATAATAATATTGACTATATTCTCCATGCATTACATTACATCACCATGACTAATCTGTAACTATCAAATTATATTTGTTAATTCCTCACCTTCTTTACCCAGCCTTTTCCTGCAACCATAAGTTTATTCTCTGTATATATGAATATGTTTCTGCTTTGTTTTTTCATTTATTTTATTCTTTAGATTTCACATAAAAGTGAAATAATGAGGTATTTGTCTTTCTCTGTCTGACTTATTTTACCTAGCATAAAACCCTCTAGTTCCATCCATGTTGTCGCAAATAAGATTTTATTCTTTTTCATGGCCGAGTAATATTCCATTATGTATATGTACCACCTCTTCTTTATCCACTCACCTACTGATGGGCACTTGGGCTGCTTCCATATCTTGGCTATTGTAAATAATGCTTCAATAAACATACAGGTGCATATATCTTTTTAGTTACTGTTTTTGGTTTCTTTGGATATATACCAAGAAGTGGAATTGCTGGGTCATAAGGCAGTTCCATTTTTAATGTTTTGAGGAAACTCCATACTGTATTTCATAGTTGCTGCACCAATCTGCCTTCTTACCTACAGTGCACAAGGGTTTCCTTTTCTTCACATTCTGTTTTCCAACATCTGTTGGTTTACTGATGATAGACATTCTGACAAATGCGAGGTGATATCTCATTGTGGTTACCATTTGCAAAGTGTATATTCAAGCCCTCTGCCCAGGTTTTAATTAGATTTTTGTGGGCTTTTTTTATGTTGAGTTGTATGAGATCTTTATAAATTTTGGATATGAATCCCTTATCAGATATAACATTGGTGAATATGTTCTCCCATTAAGCAGATTGTCTTTTGGTTTTGTTGATGGTTTCCTTTGCTGTACAAAATCTTTTTAGTTTAATATAGATCCATTTGTTATGTTTTCTTTTGTTTCTTTTGCCTGAGAAGATATTTCAGAAGAAAATATTGCTACAAGAGATGTCAGAGATTCTACTGCCTGTGTTTTTTTCCCCCAGGAGTTTTATGGCTTCAAGTCTTACATTTAAATCTTTATTCCATTTTGAGTTTATTCTTGTATTTGGTGTAAGGAGGTGGTCTAGTTTCATTCTTTTGCATGTACCCGCCCAATTTTCCCAACACCCTTTATTGAATAGACTGTCTCTATCGTGTTGTATATTCTAGCATCCTTTGTCATAAGTTAATTGACCATACACGTTTATTTCTGGGCTCTAGCCTGTTTCATGGATCTATGTGTGTATTTTTATGCCAGTGCTATGCTGTTTTGATTACCTTGTATGATATTTTGATATCAGGTAGCATGATATCTCCAACTTTGTTCTTTTTTATCAAGATTGCTGTGGCTATTCAGGATCTTTTGTGGTCCATATACATTTTTGGATTATTTGTTCTAGTTCTGTGAAAAACACCATTGGAATTTTGATAGGGATTGCGTTGAAGCTATAGATTGCCTTGGGTAGTATGGAAATTTTAATGATATTAATTGTTCCTATCCATGAGAACAATATACATTTCCATTTATTTGTATCTTCTTCAATACCTTTCTTCAATGTCTTAAAATTTTTCTGAGTACAGGTATTTTACCTTTTTGTTTAAATGTATTCCTAGATATTTTATTTTGATTTGATGCAATTGCAAATAAGATTGTTTTCTTAGTTTCTCTTTCATATAGTTCATTATTGGTGTATAAAAATGCAATTGATTTCTGAATATTTATTTTTTTACCCTGCTACTTTACTGAATTCATTTATACGTTCTAGTAGTTTATTGATGGAATCTTTAAAGTTCTCTCTATATAGATCCATGTCATCTGCAAATATTGACAGTTTTACTCCCCCCTCCCCGCCCCATTTGGATGGCTTTTATTTCTTCTGATCACTGTGACTATAACTTCCAATACCATGTTGAATAAGAGTGATGAAAGTAGACATTCCTATTTTGTTCCTGATCTTAACACTTTTCAATTTACCCATTGAGTATGATGTTGGGTGTGGATTTGTTAAATATGGCCTTTATTATGTGCCGGAAGCTGGTCCATCCTTGCTGCTTGACACAGTCACTGCAGGGAAGAAACATCTGCACAGCATATGTTTCAAGGGACCTGGCGTATATGGCATACTGTTCTTAATGTGTTTTAACCAAGGTCACCTCTCCTAGAAAGGTTGTTTCCCCAGGTGGGGATTTTTCCCAGGAGTTAGGAATTAACAGGACTAAGGAAGGGAATAAATCAGTAAAACCCCTTAACTAAGTGCCAGGCGGGTAGTTAATCACTTTAACTATGAACAATCACACTTAAGCTACATAATCTTTACTTAGGATAATCTCCTTCAGTTACTTCCTTGTAGCTTAACAGAACAGTAGAGTAGTGACCTTGGACTGGAGATAACAAACGCCCTAACCTTTGGAATAGAATGGATAGGATTAAAATCAACTGGTATAAATACAGATGTAACAGAGTGTGACTTGGAGACGCTTTGGAGACGGTGGCTCCAGCTCCACAGCTGCGGTGCGATCTGCAGGAGTCCCCGGTGGGCTCTGCCATGCCGACCCGGGCAGAGGACTACGACGTGCTGCACACCATTGGCATCGGCTCCTATGGCCGCTGCCAGAAGATCCGGAGGAAGAGCGATGGCAAGATATTAGTTTGGAAAGAACTTGACTATGGCTCCAAGACAGAAGCTGAGAAACAAATGCTTGTTTCTGAAGTGAATTTGCTTCGTGAACTGAAGCATCCAAACATCGTCCGTTACTATGATCGCATTATTGACCGAACCAACACAACACTGTACATTGTAATGGAATATTGCGAAGGAGGGGACCTGGCTAGTATAATTACAAAGGGAACCAAGGAAAGACAATACTTGGAGGAAGAGTTTGTTCTTCGAGTGATGGCTCAGTTGACTCTGGCCCTAAAGGAATGTCACAGACGAAGTGATGGTGGTCATACGGTGCTCCATGGGGATCTGAAACCAGCCAATGTTTTCCTGGATGGCAAGCAAAACGTTAAGCTTGGAGACTTCGGGCTAGCTAGAATATTAAACCAGGATACCAGTTTTGCAAAAACATTTGTTGGCACTCCTTATTACATGTCTCCTGAGCAGATGAGTCGCATATCCTACAATGAGAAATCGGATATCTGGTCACTGGGCTGTTTGATATATGAGTTGTGTGCATTAATGCCTCCATTTACAGCTTCCAACCAGAAAGAATTAGCTGGGAAGATCCGAGAAGGCAAATTCAGGCGAATTCCATATTGTTACTCTGATGAGTTGAATGACATCATTACAAGGATGTTAAATTTAAAGGACTACCATCGACCCTCTGTTGAAGAAATTCTGGAGAGCCCTTTGATAGCAGACTTGGTTGCAGAAGAGCAGAGGAGAAATCCTGAGAGAAGGGGGCGACAATCTGGAGAACCAGAAAAGTTGCAGGATTCTAACACTGTATTAAGTGAGCTGAAACTGAAGGAAATACAGTTGCAGGAGCGAGAGCGAGCCCTCAAAGCCAGAGAGGAAAGACTGGAGCAGAAGGAACGTGAGCTTTGTGTTCGTGAGAGACTGGCGGAGGACAAATTGGCGAGAGCGGAAAGTCTGATGAAGAACTACAGCCTGCTGAAGGAGCAGAGGCTCCTGTCCCTGGCCAGTGGTCGAGAACTGTTAGCTCTTCCATCCTCAATACTTAAGAAGAAAGTTCATTTCAGTGGAGAGAGTAAGGAGAGTGTCCGGAGGAGTGAGAACTCTGAGAGCCAGCTCTCCTCCAAAGCCAAGTGCAAAGACCTGAAGAAGAAGCTCCATGCTGCCCAGCTGCGCACGCAAGCCCTGGCGGACATTGAGCAAACGTACCAGCTGAAAAGCAGACAGATCCTGGGCATGCGCTAGCCAGCAGGGCCCGGCGCTGTGTGCGGGATCTGACATGGCCAGCCCCCGAAGGACTGATTGATGTTCAACTGCTGCAGCTTGATATACTTGGTTCCATGAGCCGTGCCTTTCTGTACAGTAAGAGTGATATTTTGGAATTGCCTTTGCTGTCCTTCCTCAATAATTGTACAAAACGTCCACACCTTTCTTCTTCTTTTTCTTTTTTAAAAGAACACTTTAGCCGAAACCGGTTTGGCTCAGTGGATAGAGTGTCGGCCTGCGGACTGAAAGGTCCCAGGTTCCATTCCGGTCAAGGGCATGTACCTGGGTTGCGGGCACATCCCCAGTAGGAGATGTGCAGGAGGCAGCTGATCGATGTTTCTCTCTCATCGATGTTTCTAACTCTCTATCTCTCTCCCTTCCTCTCTGTAAAAAATCAATAAAATATATTTTAAAAATATATAAATAAATAAAAATAAAAGAACACTTTATAGAAAGAATGATACTTTCTTGGTTGGGGTTTTAATCCCATGTGTGATTACTACTGGAACATTACATTCTAAATGTTGGAGGAAATTAATATCAGGAAAAACATATGTATCCACTTCCTGAGACGTTTTACACGACTGAGTGGTGTGCTTACAGTTGTCATGTCTAGATTTACAACTTCAAGTCTGAGGTTTTAAATATTCTAGAGCTTAGAAAACCGAATTGGATCCAAACTGGTCACTGATATTATGACATCTTGCTTATAGATATCACTTATTGATATCCCATTGCTCTTAGTGCAAAATCTGTCACCTTTTGTGAAAATCCATCACTGTGATGTCGATTGCACGTAGAGCTCGGGAAGTATGTCTCAGTGCTGCGGCTGAAGCAATGGTGTGAGCACACTCCACCATGACATGCTGCCTCGGCACACCAGGAAGTAGCAATACCCGCCTGAACGAACTCCTAGAGCCACGTGCACAGTACCCCAGCCTTTCAGCCATTGGTCGCCCGTAGCAACATGTCTCCCTCTGATTGGTCCCCTCATGCTATATATACCCCTGTAGTTCCACAATAAAACGGATCTGCTCACTGAACCTGGTCTCCGGAGTCGTGCATGCAGACGCCCTAGCGCGTTGGGGCTCTGTCGTCCTCACCCCCGAGAGAACCCCTGCTTCATCTGGCGCCCAAACGTGGGGCCCCCGGAATGGCTGGACGGGTGAGCGACCCTCTACAGTAAAATGGGAAACCTACCCCATTCCGAGAGAGCACTACAAGCGCGTGCGCTCCACGCCTTACTGCAGAGCAGGCGAGTTAAGGTCTCTGAAAAGGAACTTCAAACTCATTGGGAATATCTATTACAGTCCAACCCGTGGTTAATCGAGGCCCCCATTTGGGACCCCTCCACTTGGGAGAAGGTCTTGAAAAGGATTCGATCCGATGAGGTCCACGAGGAAAAACCGTTACCCCCTTCTCTGACGCCGGCCATCTTAGCTATCCTGGCTGGCCTGTCCGGCGCTCCGCCCGAACCGCCACTCCCAGTTCCCACAGCCTTTTCAGCCACAGTGAAGGACGAGCCTCCCCCTAAGCTTCCCTTGCCACCTTACAATCCCCCGGTCACTACCACCACTCCCTCGGCACCTGAGGGTCCCCCAGAGGCCGACCCTTGGGAAGTATCTACCACCAACAGAGCTCAGAAGGAAGCAGAACAATACGAAATTAAAACGGGGGAAGCCGCTACCTCGGCCGAAACAGCGCAGGGCAGGAAGCCAAGCGCAGGTCCCCTGCAGCAGACTGCTCTGGCCCACCTTGTTGGGGACACAAACGATAATCCCTGGACAGGGCTATACCAATCCCAATGCCGGCAGAGGGACATGGCACGGTTCTCTTTGGGCTTAGAAACTCAGGCTTTCCCCGTCAACACTAATCCTACCGCCCTACAACCTCAGACGTGGATACTGCCTAACCAAAAGGAGCTACTAGCCATTAGAAAGGCAGTACAGGAGGATGGGTTATCAGCCCCGTACACCCAACAACTACTTGAAAATTTTAGTATAAATCTTAACTGCCCTCATAATTGGAAATGCCTCTCTCGCACCATACTATCCCCAGGGGACATGATTCAGTGGAAGGCTTTGTTTTATGAACAGTGCAAGCAACAGGTGGAATGCAATCGAGCCGCGGTAGCAGGAAAAGCCCATAATCCACACGATGAGGCAGATGCACTACAGGGAGAAGGAGTTTTCTCTTCCCCTGCTCTCCAGGCCCAGGAGCACGCTAGATATTTTGATCAAGTCCGCCTCTGTGCTATGTGTGCTTTGGCCCAAATAAATCCGAGGGGTAAGCCTACGCAACTGTCCAAGCTCGTACAGGGTTCCAATGAAGGGTTTTCAGAATTTTTACATAGAGTCAGGGAAGCTGTGGACCGTAAGGTTACTCACGCCCAGGCAGCGGAAGCCCTTACCAGGGAGCTCGTCTGGGAGGGGGCTAATACTGAGTGCCGCCAGGCAATCGCTCCGGTTAAATAGATGACTGGGTGCTTACCTGTCGAGATGTATGCAGTAAGTCTGCTGCCACCCTTTCCGGCAGCGCTGGCCGCTCATATCAATCTAGGGGACAATCGGGAGGACAGAAAGGAGCATGCTATGAGTGTAAAGGGATCGGCCATTTTGCGAAGGATTGCCCTAACAGGAAGAGAAAACAGGGAGGGGAAGGGGAAAAAACCCCTCCGTTTGCCCCCGCTGTAGAAAGGGACTACACTGGCACAGGGACTGCAGATCCAATAAGGGTAAAGATGGCAATCCACTGCCCCTTTTAAACGAGAAGAGGGGCAGCTCTCAGCCCCGCCAGTAAGAGAGCAGCCAACCCAAGGGATATATTGGACGCTACCTCTTACACAGAGCAAGGCGTTCCTTACCTTAACGGTCGAGGGAGAGAGAATAGAAGTGCTAGCAGATACTAGGGCAGATGTGTCGGTATTCAAGAGGAGAAGTGGAGTTCCAAATGGCCGACCACTTCCGGTCTGCTAGTTCAGGGAGTCAGCAGCTACAAGAGGGCTGCCCAAGCTGCCAGGGGACTCTCCTGGGCGGACTCAGATGGGAATACCGGGACTTTCCGCCCACTCTTCATGACTGACATCCCCCACACTTTGTGGGGCTGAGACATCCTTGAGGCAGTCAATGCAATCATATACACCGCACCGCCCCCCCATTCCTAGGGGCCACTGTTCACCCACCGGCGCCACAGCCGATAAAGTTATCATGGGACACCACTGACCCCATATGGGTAGAACAGTGGCCTTTACCACAAGAGAAATTACTGCCCTTAAGCAATTAGTACAAGAACAACTAGATGCTGGACTTGTTGAACCCTCTCTCAGCCCTCACAATACACCAGTCTTTGTCATACAAAAGAAGGATAAAGTAAAATGGAGATTTCTACAGGACCTCAGAGCTGTAAATAGACATGAAAAAACTAGGCCCTCTACAACCAGGACTGCCTCACCCCTCGGCTATCGCAAGGGGAGCGCATATAAAAATCATAGATATTAAAGACTGCTTTTTCTCTATCCCGTTGCACCCGGAGGACAGGCCCTACTTTGCCTTCTCAGTGCCCTCTACCAACCATCAACTACCAGCAGATAGATACCAATGGAAGGTACTCCCCCAGGGCATGAAGAACAGCCCTACCATGTGCCAGGCTTACGTTGGAGTGACAACCAAACCTCTAGCCAAACAATGCTTTATCACTCATTACATGGATGATATCCTTATTGCCCATAGAGACCCTATATGGCTAGAGGCATGCTACCAAACACCTATTAGCAACCTACGAGCTCTTAACCTCCAAATAGCTCCCGAAAAGGTCCAGACCATTCCTCCATACTCCTTTTTAGGATATAAAATACATGAACAAATAGTACCCATAGCTCCTCAGCTTTCAATTCCTGATACCATCTCCCTACATGCCCTACAGGAATTATGTGGCCAGATTAATTGGGTTAGGAACAGCTTATCAATCTCCACCGGGGCCCTAGGCCCCCTCTTTCAATTGCTTGAAGGAGACACAGACCCCCTTAGTACCCGCTCTCTAACCCTCAAGGCCAAAGAGGTCTTAAAAGCTGTCAACCAGGCTCTAAGGGAGCTAGAGCTACACAGAATAGACTTGACCCTGCCAATCCAAGCGATAGTACTGGGCACCATTGGGACTCCTACAGGAGTACTATTTCAGGAGGGTCCTCTTTATTGGGTACACTTGGCCTACAGCCAGCTTGCTAAAGTAACGCCCCAACAGCGGCCTACAGCCTCATAGGACGGAAGCTCAGGCAGGCTTCGCTTACCCTATATGGAAAAGAACCTGACACTCTCATACTTCCTTATACGCAGGAACAAATCTCTCATCTATTAACCACAGATCTAGAAACACAGTTACTTCTCCTAAACTACCCAGGGCAGGTAGATAATCACCTACCCAATCATAAAAGGTACCGTTAGAGACACTAGGTCTGGTACACCCCTCTAGTAAACCTATCCCTGGGGCACCCTGCGCCTTCACTGACGCGGGGAAGCATTACTGTGCAGCAATAATAAAGTCCCCTAAAACTTCCACCAACCCCACTTATCTTAGATATACTTATCAAGGCTCAGCACAAGTAGGAGAACTCAGAGCTATAATATACGCCCTTCTCTATTGTCAAAATAGTCCAGTCAATTTATTCTCAGATAGTGCTTACGTGGTGCATACGGCAAAAAATATAGGGTATTCCACCTTAAGAGTTAAAGATACCCCGCTAGATCAGAGCCTCCAACTCCTAAAGGACATCCTAGAGAACCGTAAACTGCCCTGGTATATCCAACATTTACGGTCTCATACTAGCCTACCAGGCCCACTTTCCCTAGGCAATGCAGAAGTGGACAAGCTAGTTCTTACCCTACAACCCATAGAAGAGGCCAGACTCCTACACACCAAATTTCATATGTCAGCCTCCTCTCTCCATAAGCTCTTCCCCCATCTGCCCCTAGCTCAGTGCAAGCACCTCATACGTGCTTGCCGATCCTGGGGTCCTCTACTACCCCTCGGGCCTTTACAACCCAGAGGGGCCAATCCCCGAGGACTACAGCCCAATGCCATATGGCAAGCGGATGTCACGCATGTCCCAGCATTTGGCAAATTGAAATATGTC